GGGGGTGCTGGCCTGCAGAAGTGCCATGCAAAGTTTCGTGGGCATAGGTAAATTCCTCAATGAGCTAGAACTTTTTTAACACGGTCAGCGGTCAGGCGAAAGTGAACAAGCTATTGTGATCAAGTCAAAGAGCAGAAAACCTGAGCCAGTGCATTCTTTTTCTTACTGAGCTGTTCATTTCATACCCCATCCCCCCAAACCACCAATTAACACACACAAAACACAAAAAAAGCCAAAAGAAGGACTGCAAAAGTATTAGATCTACCAGAAAGTTGAGAAAAGATAATTCATAAAAGCAATGTTAAAAGTTTTAATAAAACTTTATAAAGAAAGACACAATATAAGTGTGCAAACTGCTACTGATTTTATTGCCAACACCTTTCAAGTGTCAAGGAAATACACGTATGAATTTTTAGTAGTAACAAATATGAACCCGTTCTCTGTTTGACTAGAATTATATACTGCAAGCACCACTATCAGACTATTAGGCAAACAAAGTGTTTAGCTGCTGCGATAGCACGACTTCTACCCACATATAATTATACAATGACAAAAAACCCCCCCTCAAATCCACATTTAAAATTTGTCCCAAGAGACTTTTTTCTGTGGGAGTCTTTCACTCCCTCATCGACACAATAGATCATTAAGGAGGCAGGCTTCCAACTCTGCTTGTCAAGGCCAACCCGAGCTGAGAAGGATACAAAATCCCAGCAGAAAAAATTGAGATGCTCTATGAAATTCTCTCTCCATTCAGGAATCGAACTTGGGCCTACTGCGTGCAGTAGTGAAGCACTTAACAGCTGCCCTGCAGACACCGGTCCCCCCAGCAGACTAATAGCGAAAGTTAAAGACAACAGTGAAATTCCAACTATACAAAGAATTATTACACATAGATCTATAGGCTATAGATAAATTTGCAATAGAAGAAGCGTGAAAAGCAGAGGAAACAGGGAAACTGAATAAAGAGTACAAAAGCAAAATATATAGTAAAGTCTGCTTACAAAATGAACATTTAGGAACAGCAAATAAAGTAAGAACTACTGTTTTAGAGTTAAAGTAAAAAGGAGCATAAAAAAGGGGGGTGGGTGAAATCAGGATCAAAGTAAATAAAAAAGAAAGCTTGTGATGAGCAGACTTCACTGATAGTATCATGTCCAGTGAAAACAAAACCCCTCCACAACCCCTACTCCTTTCCAAAGAAACAACTTTAGCACACTCACACATGGTCACTTTTAAGGACAAGCCGGCTAACCCAGATTTCGGGGGTTTCCAGAAATCTTGACCTACACCAAAAGTGGGCATTTCCCTACCTCTATAGAAGGAAAAGTTTGGTTTCATTGATGTGTTTATTTGTTTGGTTACAGAGAAAATTCTCCTTGTATTTTATAGGGACTGAAAAAGGGACAAAAACTTTACCTTCGATTTCCTCAAAACAGCATTTTTCGGGATAGCCCTCTTGTGCTTAAAAGCGACCACATAACAACATCGACATATTACAAAAAATTGTAAATGTTTGGTGGGTGAACACTCAAAGCTTCGACAGAAATCTAAGATTTTGTTTCAAGTCAAGTCAGACAAAAACGGACTTGTCAAAGAATGTCATTTCTGAGATCTTTCAACAAGATCCAACTTTATCTTTGTGTTGTAAATGTTTTATACTTCCATCAACTTATGGGGGGCGGTTTATTTCTATCTCGACTACACTAACCAGGGTTGACCCCGACTGGGTGTCATAAAAATTCCCAACAGACAGAATTACTTTATAAAAAACTTCCCTCAGTTGGAAATTGAACTCGTGTCTTCTGCTGGCAATGGAAAATGTCCTAAACACTGCACCACAGGCATCAGTTTCCAACCACCTGCACAGGTGACATAAATAATGTATATTAAAAAAAATATATATAATAAATTGAAACACATGACAAAAAGAAACAGCACACCAATGAAGCTGGACACAAAATAAATGTGAAACAGCTTACGTTTGGATAAACAGAGTTGTGTTCGCAAAGACCAAAAGTTTATTCAGAGTAGACTCAGAAGGCTAACTTTCCTTCTTGGTCTTTTTTATAGCCTTCAAAACAGACAGTTTTTTGTGTATTATGATGCAGGCTAAAAATAAAAAAGTGCATCTTTGGTTTTCCTTTGATATTTGCCCAAATTTGTACAATATCAAATATAATGGTCCTTGACATGATTTAAAAGAACAATGATTTTTTAACATTGGTTATGTTTATTTCCGTAAAAATTCAAAGAAATAATCTTTTTCTAATAAAAAAAAATAAAGCATTGGGATTTCAACCCCTGAAGCATTGGGATTTCAACCCCTGAAGCATTGGGATTTCAACCCCTGAAGCATTGGGATTTCAACCCCTGGAGCATTGGGATTTCAACCCCTGGCATTCAGTGAGTTAAGCAACTCCAGGAACACATGGACACCAAGAACTGGAACTGAAAGTAACTAGGCCTACTCTGTCACTTATCAATTTAAAATTCCCTTAGGAAGATCTACTGTGCACATTTTGTTGCGATTAGATTTTCAAAAACACCGTAAATACACGGGACTAGGCTCAAGCCTAGTGAGTCAATACATCCATTTTACCATGAACTACTTGCACAAATACATGAAAGAGAATGGAAGTCTTTTGTTAGGACATTTTTCCGGGATCGTCTCCCCCTTAAGCTACTAACAAATCATAATTATAATGAAATGGGAAAAAAAAATGAAATGAACATATTTTAAAACAATTTTTTATGTTGAAAAGCTGAGGTCAAAGCCACCCAAACGTTTTAAACATATTGCACTACATACTATGGTCACCTCTATCCCACTTTTTAGTAAATTTCACAGGGAACAAAGCATATTAACTCATTCGCTACGTATTATTTACGGCTTGTGGACAACATTTTTTTAGGGAGGGCGAACGAGAACAGTTAATAGGTCTTTGGGGCCACAAATTTAAATAAATATCAATGTATTATAATTATATACCAATATTTTCACTAAGGATTGTAGAATACATCTGTAATGTTTATTTATGTACTTTTCAACTTTTGTTCCTGTAAGAGGCGATTATGCAACACAATTTTGATTGGATGCGGATAAAATTTGAAAATAAAAACTTTATAATCTTTGGTGAAACTCAAAAAATATGTTTGCACCTGGTCGAATGATACATCAAAATAACCATAAATAAATATAGAACTGAAAAATATTGAAAAATTTGCAGTTATTTACCTACATTCCATATATTATTTGTACATTTGGATCATACCATCCGATATTGAAAAACATTTTTTTTTATAATCTTGAAAAAGGATCACAAACAAACAAAAAAACACTGGTATCTTATATGGAATTCTTCAGAATTGCTTTTGGAATAAACCAATACATGTCTTGAGTGGCACTTTTGTGGAATTTCATCAAAAAGTAGTGATTTTGGGGAGAAAAAAATATTTTGACAATTTAGATCTAGACCTAGATCTAGATCTGGCACTCAAAAATATTGATTTCTAAATAACAGTGCATCGGCAATATGAGTCCAATCGTATCAATATTATAAAAAAGAGTCCTACCCTTCTTTAGTGAGCAAAATAATGATAGATTTTGTTGTGTAAAATTACCAAGACTGGCATCGCGATAAAACAAAGTCGAATAAACTACGAAATCACGTTTCAAAACTGAATCTAAACTTCCAATTTTCAGTGGAAATGCTTGACCCGGAAGTCAACATTATATTATGACCTTTATTTTAACATGGATATATGGATTGGAGAAGAATCTAAGCTAAAATTGAAGATCGGTTCATGAGCCGCCAGGGGCGGCTTAGCATACTGACGGCACTTTAGTCGTGCCGCCCCCCCCCCCCCCCCACGGCTCGGCG